CAATGCTTGCAGCCAACTGAGTTGCCGCTGTTTGGGTGCACAATGCAACCCCCAAACACATGTGGAGTGGATGTTTCGCTTAGAACAATGCAGTCGGTGTGCGGAGAGCAGGGCAAGTCCAGTCGTTGAATCGCAGACTGTGTTGTTTCTGGTTCAGGCTCTAATATATTTTGCTGAACATTGTGGCCCCTTTGGAGATCATCTTTACAAGCTTTGGTCAGTATTGCACCATCCTTTGTGTTCGCTGGCGAACAATTCTTCGAGTCGACCCATGGAAACGCGGTCTGCGTTGACCCCCCCAGATAGATTTCTCGGAGTGTACATATGTTTTGGAGGGCACACTCGTGAAAGATGAGAAGTTGTGTCCCACTGTCACTATATAGATGTTGGTGACTCAAGAGACAAGAGCCAAGGACCTGCAGGTTTGGTTGCACCACTGTTTTATTTTTCAGTTTTTGATGAGTTTAGGTTGCGGCTCAATTTTTTTTGCCATTGGATTCTTCTAAACCTTTGGCCTGTTTGACAGCCCAGGTACGCCATGAGGGAGAAGTCCCATGCAGCGACATGACGCCCAATGTGAGTGGAGGACCTTTGAGTGAGGAGGACCTTCGCTGTCAGTTTGGGCAACAGCCATCTCCGGCCCAAACCACTACGACACATGGACGACATCGGATGATTCACTGCTGAAACGATTCGTCTGGAGTATTTGTTGTTCCGCCCGGCTTGGGGACCGGAGCACACGTCGTGGCGTGACAGAACGCGGCCGCCCAGGTGAGGTGTTTCGCCGCATGGAGCTCCATGGATTCCACGTCTCCCACGGCGGACCTTGCCCGATGTGGGCCTCTCGACTGAGTGGCGGAGGATGTGGGGGGATCGTTGAGGTTTTGACTCTTGACACCTATGTTTTGACACCCAGGTTGGTCCCAACGAGCAGCATTTGACACCATGGAAAGCCTAAGATGGAGACAAGAGCATCTCCAGGATTTGGCCTGAGTAGAAACTCTATGAGTTGTGACTTAGTGAAAACTAAGGACGATGGGTTCAGTGTTGAGTTGATAATCTGGTTTCCAGTCCAATTGCCTGGCCTCGCATGTGATTAGCTTGTGTTTTGGAGCGTGCCCCACAAGTGTGTAGGCCTCCTTCTACATCCTTCCACACTTACGATATTCGCCACAACATGTATTGGTTGTACTTAGTCACAAGGATCTTGACCCCACCCACCTTACTGTAGTTTTCTGAATTCGAAAGATGTGAGGCAGTTGTTGTAGATGAGCATATAGATGGAAAGATGCAGCTGTCAGTCCTTCAGAGTAGGTTTATTGACGTTTGCTGCATTAAATCATTAAGTGAAGGTACTGTTTGCAAAATGCTTGATATGTCCACTTTGCCATTCTAGGTGTGGGCCTAAATATTGCCACTTGATGCAGCTTCTACAATCCATCATAATCCCCTATTAAAAAAATACCTCGCCTTGGTCCCTTTGTTGGGCACAGAGTGCTGCGTTCAATGCGTCGTGACCAACCGCAGGATTCCAGTACACATGATGAAGTGGATGTGGTGTTTGAAAGGAGAACAAGCTCGCCATCAGATGCAAAAGGTGTCACTGCGCGTCCCATGCCGCATGCCGCTCATCGGTGGACTTGATCCTGTCGGGGTCGAGTCCAGGGGTCCCCGGAGTAAACAGAGTTTCGATTTCCAGGCTCGGAGAGGTCTCCTTGATGTTTGGGGGCAAGAACTTGAATGCTTCAGTGACCATGCCATCAGATACCCAATTCAGCTGCGAATCCAGGCTTAAGACTCCTTCAACCAAGCAAGTCCGTGGGTGAAGCCCAGACTTCACTGTGTGCCCCCCCGCGAAGAGGCCCAGAAGCACCGCCTCATCTTGCAGATGACTGAGGGCGTCATGTGGGGATCTCATGCGGGTCAAGCCGATTGTAAATTAGAGGAGGCGGTTTTTGGGAGATTGGTAGACTCGGACTCGCGAAAGTGGACAATGGCCCACTGGGAAGGCTAGGCTGATGTCGCCTGCTCGACGACCGTGTTTAGCAGGCCGATACTCTGAGGATTGACAGAGTCCGCAGCGGTAAGACTATGGAAGACTGTATACATCTGTATACACTATACATTATATACCATATTATCATTGTTGTTATTACTATTATTATATTTGCAGATTCCATCCTAGTGAACTGGAGTGTGGACTGGGTTTAAGACCGGGCAAGTTAGAGAATGAACCTTCAACCAAAAGTCTCTTAACCGCCCGTGGATTTTCCAGGAGTTTACATTGGATCCGGCCCCAACCAGATTCATGGGAGGTGAGACTAGGGGTTTACCAACGGAGAGGAACAAAGGAACACGTGGGTAAACTATGGTAAGCTGGAATTCTGTGAAATATACTTGTTCCTAGTAGCTTATTGTTACTACTAGTAAGGCACTTGTTACTAGAAGCGATGCACTTGTTCCTAGTAGCGAACCTTGTTTCTGAAATATCTTCCTGTGTTTTGTTTGATCCGACCCCTAAAGCAACGGAGAGAGGTCCCAACAACGTGAGTAGTCACCGTTTTGGATCCTTTCAAGCCTGAAGCTCGACGGTATATTTGAGTGGCGCAACAGATTCAAGTTTGCCTTGCAATTTCTCCTTCACTCAACTATACTCCTTGGAATAGCGACAATCATACTCCAGGTCCGTTAATCCCTGTTCTCCACAAAGCATGCCTGTTGTTTTCAGGTTCTTGCATGGCCAGCGGCCACCGTCCCCGCACTCGTTGGGAGACGGGACACGTCCAGAGACGGACGACGCGGGGCGACGCGGGGCGACGCGGGCCGCGGGCGAAGCAGGAGATCACCGATCTTAGCGACAGGATTCTGCGGGGATATCAAACGGGGCGAGCTTATATGTAGTGTAGAAATCTTCAAACTGAAAAGTATATCTTATTGGAAGGATTCGATGAACAGCAGAATCATAAACGTTGATGATTGATTGGGAGATCGTGGGAGCATGGACACTAAATGTGACATATGTGAATCTCAAGAAGATTCAAGAAGCCCTTTTTCTTCGCTGTTTTGTTTTTGGAAGCTCCAACATAAAAAGCTATGATGCTGGGCAGTCCAATGTCCTCTTCCTTTTCGCTTGGCCAGGGTAGTAGTGACCCTCCGATTCTGTTCAATTTGAGCTTCACTGTTCAAGGTGCCCTGCCCCATTGTTCGGATTTACCGGTGGGCGGAAGAATGACATGCCAAGATGCAACTCATCTCATCTAGATCGATGATTATCATTCCAAAACATCGGTGTTTTTGTTTAAAATCATCACAACGACATCAAAGTCGTGGTGACTTGCTGTGCTTTTGGAAGCTGCTGTGACCTCATTAGGTGCTGGCCCTTTTCGTTCCAGGATCATCCAGGATCAATGTTTCGGGTTCAGGATGCTGGAGTTTGGGCGGCCTGTGGTCCCACAAGGCACTAATGGAACATTGGTTTGCATTGTTCTCCTGTGGTTGCCATTTAGACTTGAAAGGATCTTGGAAGGGTGCAAAAAGGTGAATTCCGTCACTTGTGACCTGCTCCCGAGGTTTGTGCATCGGGATTTGAAGAGTGCGAACGTGTCTTGAAATTGATGGATTGGGTGTTCCGGGCGTCGGCGCAGGTCGCGCTGTAAACAGCAGCCTGCCAAGGAATTTGCTTGCTTGAACGGGAGGAACACATACTCATACTCCGCCATCATCTACAGTAACGACTTTATAATAAGACCACAGTTCTTTTATGGGAGGGAGAGAGAGAGAGAGAGAGAGATAGAGAGAGAGAGAACAAAAAAGGACACGCATCTCATCTTCCGCATGTGTATGCAGGAGAGCATCGTTGCGCCTTTCCCGACAATCTCCTAGCAAAAACCTGGCATAAAAAACATTTGCCCAGCAAGACAGTCCTGAAACCGCATCATGTAAATCTCCATTCCTCGCATCCTCCAAAACGACATGTCAGAACATTGACATAAAGTTCAGAAAGTGATTTTATCTCCAAATAGGTCAATTAATGCTTCTTCCTGGCTGGGGCACCCCCATCTCCTGCCACACTTGGAACGACCCCCAGGTGGTGCTGGACTTGGAACTCAATGCCAAGCTTTGCGATCTGGGCATCACAGAGCTGGGAGACCTTGTTTATCCGGGAGAGATCAGCGGTGGAGAAAACGAGGGATGATTTAGTTTGGACCGTCATAATATGAATTATGTTGTTTCTTTAAGCGCAAATCTTGTCGCAATATCACGCAGACTCCCATTCATTGTTCGCAAGGATTCACGTCAGGCGCATATTGAATTGCCTGTGTGATGAACTGTGTCTATTTGCCACTCGGACGTCTGGAGAAGCTACCAATAGCACCCTTCTTGATAACGAGCAGTAGCAAGAATCTATTCACAGGGCACCTTGAGGCAATCTATTTTCTCAGGACAGGCAATGCAATGGTTCTTGTCCTTCACTATGTTCAGTTGTTCTTACAGTTTTGATCAGTTTTGTGTTTAATATGATAACCCATTGATAGCCCTTCCAACTTCAAAAGCGGATTGGTTTTAGGGAGCTGCTCCCACACTCCCACCCAGCATGATTGGAAAGATCGTGGCACAAGCTGCGGCAGGGCTAACCATGTTTAACTCCCAGGAAGTTGATCGCCGCTGATCACACTTTTTTGGCACTTCAGCCTCCCCGAAGCCCTCTCCACATGAGCGAGTACCAGCCAGTTTCCGAACTTGGAGAGGTGCATGGAGCGCACCCACATCAGCCGCAAGGACGCGGAAGCTGGCTCACCAAGGCCCGCACAGCTCATGGTGATTAAGAAGTAATTACTGCCAGGAGCCTCCAAAGGATGATCTTTGGACATCACCTCACACCGACCAAGGGTGTCCCACAGCAAGTGACGCGGAAGGTACATGTCCCCCGAGCTGTTCTGCCGCTCGGGGAAGCTGACGGAGAAGATGGACATTTGGGCCTTGGGCTGCCTGGCCATGGAGGCGCATGGTTCAACAGAACTTGTAGCTGTTGCTGTGCAATCAATTTTGACCATATATCATGCCATTCACTGTGGTCACGCAGGGCCGTGAGAACCAGGGGGCCCTGGGGACAAAAACAGTGTGACGCGACATTGGAACAATTGGAACTCATCTTTCCAATCATGAGTCTTGTTTGCAATGCTTGTCACTAGCCAGCGTGTGTGGCCAATTGACTTCCTAACAAAAATGGAAAAATCATGGAAAATACGACTTGGTGAAACCTATAGTGACAAAAGAGATCAAAAGAACATGTTCTACATATTAAGTTACATTATACATGAAATCTATCAGACGAGACGTGTTCTTCGATGGTTCGCTGAAAACAGCGGTGTCACAATGCCGCCGAGTCTTAGACCTGTGGCGTGCCAGGTCATCACCGGCCGTGTGCCGCATGAGGAGTGCATGAATGTGCAACAGGCGTGGCAGCCCCACGTGCGGGTGGCATTGCGGAGATCAGGTGACCGGGTAGATGCTGTCCCGACCCCCAAGATGCGCTTCCCAGGAGACTAAATGAACTCAGGTCCTGATACCGTATTTGTGAATAACAGAAGAAAAAGCCAACGGTCCATTTTGTGTTTGCTCCGGGAAGACTCATGATCAGCCGGAACACATGCCAAATCTTTCAGCATCAAACCAAAGCGGCTTCATTCAGAGGTGACTTGAACCCAATTCAGAAATTGCTTAATGCCCGAACTCGACGCTTTTAAGTAGTCTGCAAAATCTCTCAAGCCAGCCAACGCATGAGCCTCTAGATCAAAGTATTAGGTAATTAGTGTTGGCAACAGCAGCCAGCTAAGCTGTGAGCTGCGATGGGCGAGCCACCTCCTTGTACAATTGGAAAGCACTCAAACACGCAGAGAGAGCCAGAAGAGAAGGACAAGTTTGTGGACAGCTCAGAGGAATATGAGTTGAATTCCTTCGAGGACCCTGGGACCCTGAGAGCCAAGGACATTGTGTGTTTTCCCAGAAAGTCAGCTCAAGCATTAAATCGAGTGATTAGACACCCCTTCGGCTGGTGGTTCAACTGCACCTCGCTTGTTTGCCAGACCTAGCAAGGACGGTACACCGCCATGTTGCTCGAAAACCGAGGCGTTCCGGCGGTACTGCATCAACGCAAACATCGCGTTGGTGAGGCCAGAGTTCTTGGAAGAACTTTGCAATGATGAGAGGGTTTGGCCTCACAGGCAGGAGGCTGAAGCAATCCCAGGAGCTGGTGGGCCAAACTGGTTGGCACAGCACCCGAGCTCATGCATTTTCCACATTTCAGTTCCTTAGGACACTTCCGCAATCTTGCGCATATGTTGATGAATATGTTTGACAGTCTTATTTAACATAGTGACCACAATAACCTCAAACAGCAAATTTTGAGATACAGTCGCAGTTTGCTGTGTGCTAACGTTCCGTCATGGACACAATGTTCGACATCATTGTGGATGGTCTTCCAGTCTCCCTTGGGCTCTTGGATTCTGCAAGTGACCTTTTTCATCCTTTTTCAAACACTTGGTAGCTGGATGTAGCAGTTCAATCAACTCAATTGTTCGCTGACTCCGACCATCAAGCAAATATTATCCCGCCTTGTAGAGGCAACAGATGTTCAATCCGCAAGGCCAAACATGGTGCCAGGAGCTTTATACAAGCCCAGGCCTGATGAGAAGTTCTTCTTTATTGGAATCTCGCACTGCTGGGAGTCACGCGAGCATCCAGATCCTTTCGGCTTCCAGCCGCTCGAACTTTCAATAGCTTGCTCCCGAACTCTGCTTTATCAGCGCACTATGTTTTGTAGCTCTTTTAGATGGTCCAATTGCCATAGGCTGCAAGAGGTCATGTGTGGAAGTTTGTCATTTGTGACCCGTTGAAGTGGACGCTAGCTTCCTTTTCAAGTCGGACAAACAAGGCTGAGAACCGTTGTTGAAGCACTCAACTACTGGAGAGAGGCCGAGCCTGAGAAATACGGGAATGGTGACACGTATTTGTTCATTGACTATATCAGCCTCCCTCAATTCAAAAGAAACGCAGAGGAGGAAAAATGCTTCCGGAAAGCCATGCAGCACATGCACCTGTTCTATGCCGCTTGGCAAGTCAACTGCATGTTTTAAAACTTTTTGGATTCACCTCACTAGTCGGCCCCTACTGGCATCCACTTTGGTTGTAGGCTTTGGCCTATTGAGGCGAATAGTGGTGCATCGTTCTGCAAGAGTGTGTGGCGCGTGGAGAGGCTAACACCTCCAGGTCTCAAAAGACAGCATCCCGGAATCACCTTGGGCCAAAAGTACCGTTGTCACATCTCTTTCGCATCTTGATCCATCGACATTCCTAGGTTTCAACATGCTTCAACTCATTTAAGTCTGAAATAGATGCACATACAAGCTCAATCAAACACTCCGTATTGTTTGAACATCCTTCGGCTTTCCAGGCAGATCCGCCAAGGGAGAAGCATCGACGTTTACAGCCTTGCCGAAGGCAGAGTGATCAAGGTGCCCCTGAAGCACTTGAAGCCCAGTGTCAAGGGCAAGTGTAGCAGGTTTTGTACCGAACAGTGTGGCAATTTGCACGCCAATGACGTCATGTACCTCGGGCGCGGCTGGTGCAGAGCCGAGTACGAGTGGGCCAAGCCCAATACCATCGACATTTCGTGGCCCCCGCATGTATGCGCCGGTGTTGCGCTCGGTACGACTCCGCATTTCATTAGCTCTCCCTACCCTGGACGCATGAGGCATTCCAGAAGAATGTGGCAGCTCGGGCCTTGAAATTCACGCACAAGAGTGACATCAAACTCGTGGTTGAGCTGCAACGCAAAGTCTTCCACCAGAAAGTGACCACATTGGAAAAGTTTGATTGCAACTGGCTTCGCGTCCACGATGTGGAGGACCTCGTGGAACTGGCGTCCCAGCTGGCTGCCGTGCAAGACTTTGAGCTACGTGCAGCCTACGTGGCGCGGCCGCAGCAGTTGGCCCTGGCGAATGCTGTGGCCACGCGCCCTGCACTCCACACCGTGAAGATTGTCTCCATCAATCTAAGGCTTCGTGCGGTGGAAGTCCTGGCAGGTGCTCCGCAGCTGTGCACGCTGTGGCTGAACGGCTGCAGCGCCATCGCTGTGGCAGACGCCATGGCACATCATTCGGCGCTCCAAGAGGTGAAGCTTCAAGGCAACGACATCCGCGATGGTGGAGCAATGGCCTTGGCGAAGGCTCTGGACAGAAACCATGTCATGGACGAGCTCCACTTGGATTTGAACCACATTGGATCGCCGGGCGCGGTCGCATTGGCCGAATCCTTGAGCTGCAATGGCAGGTTGAGACATTTAGGGATGCGAGGAAATCCCATTGGCGCCCAGGGCGCTCGAGCCCTGAGAGGATTGAGGATTGTGGTGGTGAGTGAAAGGCTGCTGTTGAGCGTGGACACTTCGTGCTGGGGATGGATGTGCTGCGTCCTAATTCGCTTCTTTGGTGTGATCCTTTTCACCCTGCTTTTGCTGCCCTGGAGGTGCTTTGTATGGCAGCAGAGAGCCGTTCACTGCATCAGTGCAGGGCGCATCCAATGGGCCACCACTGCAAGATATCGTGTGGTGAGTGACTATGACAATTCCAGTGTGGCAAGCTTTGACGATTGAATACTGTTGAAGATATTACGTGAACAACAATTCGAGCTGCAGAAAATGCTGGTCTTTCAATGTCTTCCATATCCTCTCAAGGAACCTGCCCACATCTTGGCCCAACAAAAAAGAATCAGAGATCCTCAGTGGATGACTTATCTTTCGGCCGAAAGATTTCGGCCTATTCGGTCCAAGCAATCTCCAAGCCCATTCGGTCCAACCGAATGCGCAAATTGAAATAAGATTGGTTGACTTTCCTGCACCAGACCACGCCCGGAAGTCTGACTCTTAGACGAAAGACGTCCGGCCTGGCGGAGATGATCCTGGTCAACATCTCGACCTCTCAGTCATTGGTGGGCAATCTGGCCTGCCGGGACTTGAACATTGAGATTAATATATACGGAAGGCACTTGTACAGCTCTGAGTCGCTTCACCAAATTTAGTTTCGAAATGTTTCGCTCAGTCTTAGACGGAAATACTGGCTTCACGCAGACGCAACAGCTGATATCTATTGATATTTGTTTTTGTCGTCCGGCCCGTCCGGCAATCATCAGCAGGGCTCGCTATATGTCCTCTTTTGCACAATTAAACATCGCCTTTTGTTTTGATTCAATTGGAAATATCCAGATTAAGACTACAGACAAAAGAAGTTGTGCCTGACCTCTTGTGCATGCTTTTGGAAGTTCTGATTATATAATGGAAGTATATGTGCGAAACTACAGCAGTAGCACTCATTGTTCATGAACCACATGTCAAAGACATGAAACGCACAGACACGAGAAGTGTACCGCAGACCGCCTTTTGAGAGCTCAAAGATTCGCATGGTAGCGGAGCCGGTGATCCCCTTTCCAGACGGTCAGGGGTGAGGCTCGCGAATCTAGGGGACAGGACCCGCATCCCCAAGGGCGCCAGGGGCGAGCGCCTGTGTGCTGCAGCTGAAGCCATTGCAGCAGAGCTCGCAATCAACGCGAGAGGGTTCTTGGAGAAAGTGATCACGCAATCACTGCAAGAGGGTCCCTGAAGTACACGATCAGGGCTACAAGGTGGAGGAGCTCAACCTAGCCGGAACTAAGGAAGAAGATGGCTGGACTTGGAGGACAACCATCCACCTCAACGACAACAGCTTTGGATGGAGCTGAGGTTGCACGCCGCATGATGATGGCAACTGAGGCGGCCAGCATGGCTGCACAGGCTGCGGCGGCTGCCCTGGAGAGGAGGACGGGTGGTGGTGATGATCGCTCGTGGTTCAAGGTCCTTCCAAAGCCCGCTGGATTCTACCCCAAGTCACGGGAGGATGAGCTAGCACAGTGGAGAGACTTTAGTTGGGGACTTGAGCAATATCTCGCCTCGCTAGACTCAGAATTCCCCAGCGACTTCCAAGAGCTTCGAGATCATCCTACGAGGGAGGTCGACCAGAGCATCCAAACGGACGAGGTGAAGCAGAGAGGAATGTTCCAGTTCTCGCTGTTAGCCTCATTGGTGAGGCAGAGGCCACTGGCGGTGATCAAGCAGGTGAAGAATGCCAACGGCTTCGAGGCCTACAGACAGTTGATCCAGAGCCTTGAACCAGCCAGCAAGAACAGGAGCTTGGGCTTGTTGACGATGCTGCTGGAGGAAAGGTGGACTCCTCAACCAGCTACTGAAGCTAGAAGAGGGGTTCACAGAGTATGAGCGCACTGGATCGAGGTTGGAGGATAACATCAAGTTTGCCATCCTGAAGAAGTGCGTCTCAGGTCAGCTAAAGACCTGGCTCCAGTTGATTGTAGCCGAGAGCCAAAGCTACAGCAAACTCCGTGAGGCAGTGATCCAGTATGATGGAGCTACACTTCGATGGAGCAGTGCAATGATGCTGGGTCAGGAGAGCAAGGATGGAGCGGTGCCGAGGAAAAGGCAAGGGCGATGCAAAGGAGGCCAAGTCCAAAGGGAAAGGCCAGAAAGGACAGGAGTCAGTCCACAAAGGAGGCTCGAAAGGTTCCGGTAAGGGAGAGCCACAGAAAGGCAAAGGAAAGACACAACCAGTGAGGGAATGCTATGTCTGTGGAAAGCCTGGGCATTTGGCCAGAGACTGTTGGCGAGTTCGACAGGTGGAGACAGAGCGGAATCGGCGACGGTCCTCAGTTCACCCTCGAGCGGCCAGGCAACAACTACGAGGCCGGCAATCAAGAGGATTGAGGAAGTTTCACAAGAATTTAACACACCAATAGTTTTTGACCTCCGTGGTTTGGGAGGTGATGCAAGCATGGAGGACAGCATCAAGATGATTGCCTTCTACAACATGGCCGAGGAAGATGTGGCCGATGAGGAGGAGGAGCTTCTGATGGAAGTCCGAATGGTGAGAGAAGGAGAAGATGAGTGGTTCAGCGTGCCAGAGGACTCCTGTGACATAGTGATAGACTCTGGAGCGGATGCCACAGTGTTGCCAGCAAGTTACATTGATGTTGGCACATCCCTTGGTCGTGAGGCGCCGAAGCTGCAGGATGCACAAGGGGAAGCCATCAAGATTAAGGGCTACAAGAGTGTGAACTTCTGCTTTGAGACGGAAGATGGTCGCAAGGTGGAGATCAAGGAGAAGGCCCACTTTGCAGAAGGAATAGGACAGCCAATCCTGTCCTTTGGAAAGATGATGTCAAGCGGTTGGGGCATTGATGGAACTCAACCAGCACTGACGTTTGGGCCCCCTGGAGATGGACAGGTGCGAATTTCCTTGAAGATGCAGAACAAGAGTTTGGTTGCAGAAGGGAGTGTCCGGGCCATACGGGTGGAGCCGAGAGGGGCAGAAGGTCTGAAGGCCAAGCTGTCCGAGGAGCTGGAGAAGGTGGTAAGATTCCAAGGTGGCTGGAAGAGAAACCAGGATACTTGGGTCGGAGTACACCTAGCTCAGAAGTACCAAACCCCCCAGTATGCGCCGGAGATCACATCGAAGGTGGATTGGAAGAGGACCACTTTGGTCAAGAAGGAAGGAAAATGGTTGCTCATGGAGATGTGTGAGGCCTTGCATGCAATGGCTGACCAGGAGGAGGCGATTGAAGGGACAGCTGAGAAGCAATTGGTCCTCGGGCATGAGCAGTGAGGAGATGGGCTTTGGGGTAGAAGAGGCACTGCCACCAGCTCAACTGGAGGTTAAAGAGTTTGAGTTGCCATTTGATGAGCCCAATGCGCAACAGGATCAGGCAGACGGACACGTACCACAACCAGCTGATGTGGAGCAAGAACGGAGGCTGGTAGTGGGCAAGGTGTTGCCTGAAAAGATCGTGGTGAATGAGGTGGAACTATGTGCGACGTCACCTCTGAGACAGTTGAGGGCAGCGTGCGACGTCACCTCTGAGACAGTTGAGGGCAGCGTGCAACTTCTTCGGAGTGAGCCAGTCAGGGAGCCGGAGCAAATGCTTTGAGAGACTGGTCTCCCACATGAGGGAGAGAGAGTTGAAGGCAGCTGCAGAGGCTGTAGCAGCAGCGCAAATGGAGGAGTCCAGGCAGCCAAGAGCACCGCCTTTGATCATGGTGCCAAGTCAGGCGGAGCAGGACAAACACAACCTTACACACACACCATATGCCCCTTGGTGTGAATGCTGCCTGATGCACCGTGGAAGACCTGACAGGCACTTGAGGTCAGGCGCATCGAGATTGACTGGATTACCAATCATCAGTTTGGACTTCTGCTACACCAAGGCAGGATCCATAGACCGGAATCCGAGCCGGCTGGAGAAGGAGAAGTGCCACTGCGAGAAGTGAAGCAGGCGTGTTGGCTGATGATGGTGGACAGCCACACAGGCTATTTGGGGGGCAGTCCCACTCAAGTCGAAGGGACAGTTGAACATCATGGCCAGAGAGGTAATGACATTCATCCAGAATTTGGGCCATACAGAGGTGGGACTATATGGGGACAATGAGCCAACGATAAGGTCACTTCTACGCATTGTCCTAAACTCGAGGCATGCAATGGGGTTGAGAACACGCCTCTACACCACTCGAGTGAGAGATTCAGCAGGCAATTCATTAGCAGAGAATGCCATCCAGCGAGTTCGTGGATTAGCAGCTACAGTGATGGAGTACCTGATGAAGAACACGGGGCTGAAGCTGAATACAAACCACGGTTTATGGAGCTGGGCAGCGAGGCATGCCTGCTGGATGCTGAACAGGTACCAGGCGAGCAAGGGCATCACAAGCTATGAGCTCGTCCATGGAAAGACCTATGATGGACTAGTGGTTCCCTTCAGAAACCCAGTCTATGCCTACACCAAGCCGCAGACGGGAAAAGGAAGTAGCTCTGAAGTCAGGCAACTTTCCCCCGACGGAGATGATCCTTTCCGACACCGAGATGAGGATGCTGAAGCAGTCCAGGCCTATGCAGAGTCGAAGGAAGGCCAGGAAGAAGCTCAGAGAGAGTTGGAGGAAGCAAGAGCTTTGGAACAGCTGGCACCGGAAAGGGAGGAAGGCGAACCAGCCCCACGAGCTCCACAAATTGAGGATGAGCCAAGAGGAGGAATGCCGACTACCCCAGCTCCTGAAGATCAGTCTGGGGAGAGGAGCTCAGTGCCGACCATGGTGGTGTTACCTATGCCATGGGAGGAGCAGGGAAGTCTCTCGGCAGGGAGAGCATTGAAAAAGTCAGCGCCACCCCTTTCAGCGGTGAAAGCAGAACCGGAGTTCAAGAAGCAGAGATTGGAGGAGGAGAGCGCAAAAAGACCGAGGAAGGAAGGGCCTGGAGCATCATCTTCAAGCACACCTGGCATGAACAAATGGTGGAAAGGAGAGTCCAGAAGGTATGCATTGGAGATGAGGAGATGTACCACCTCGACGAGGTCATTGAGTCTGAGACCATCGAGTTGGAGGTGGATGAAGATGTTCCGACAGTTGCCCAAGAACAAGATCAGCCGGAGGTATGGAGTGAGGCGGCACTGACAAGGACGCCACCTCAGCCAAGTGATGAAGTCGAAGCTTTGGCTGATCAGATTGAGGAGAAGAGGTTGAAGAGTATGGGAGTTATTGAGGACCTGAAGATCGAAGACTTCTACCTGGACAAACTCACCAACAAGTTTGTCCGAGACTGGCGAATCAAGACCAGAACCCTGCCAGACTAGGCAGCAGAAGAAGCAGTGGATGAGAAGGTCACGTTTGGTAGCCCGGGAGTACGCGGTTGAGCGAAGAGATGATGTATACTCTCCTGCGTCAGGAAGCTACAGCCTGCGGCTTCTCCCAGCGCTCCTGCTGGACATGAGAAGCAAGGACTACCATGAGGAGGAGACCGGTGACCCAGTGATTGGAGCCCTGGACATCAAAGATGCCTTCTGCAGGTGGCACAGGAAAGACCACTGCAAATCTCAACAAGCCTGGGCAAGTACAAGGTCTTGAAGAATTTGCCAGGACAACGGATCGGGGCAAAAACCTGGTATGAACACATTAGAGACTACTTGATCAAGAACCAGGGCTTTGTCTTCGACGTGGTCAACCCCTGCTT